TGTGTGTGTGTGTGTGTGTGTGTGTGTGTGTGTGTGTGTGTGTGTGTTTTGTTTAGATGGGGGGGCTTGCCTTGTTTTTGTGTTTTTGAGTCAGGGTCTGTCAGACTAGTCAAACCTTGGATTCGCAGAGATCCACCTGCCATTGGCTGGTAGCGTTTCTTGTAGTCTGAATTCTGATGTGAAGAAGCAGTCCTGCTGTGTAGATCCTGTCGAGTAGATACCCATGGAGAGTCATCTGTTTGTACGCAAGGTACACGTACACAGCGCTCTCGGAGACAGCTGTTCTGTTAGGGCCCCAGAGAAAAACGGGCCAAGTGAAGGACTTACAGGGTGTGGTCCAGCTAATAAAACAGTGGCTGTCGACCAACAGGAAGTCCAAGAATCCAAGAGTTGTTCAGTCCGTGAGGCTGGCAATCTCAGCTGGTTTTCAGTGTCCACCAGAATCTCGAAGAAGTAGCCTCAAATGCCAGTGAGAGCAACGGCAGGCAGGCGAAGCACACAGACTTCCTCATAGGCCCCTCATCGAGGCTGCCCCCCAAGAAGGTGTGGCCCAGATTACAGACGGATTTTACCACCTCACAAGATCCAGTCTAAAGGTGGCTCTCCCACTTCACATGGTTTAATTAAGAAAAATTCCGCACAGGTGTACCCAGCCACTTGGGTCTTAGTTAATTCCAAATGTAGTCAAGTTGGCAACCAAGAATAGCCACCACAGCTATTAATGGAATTTTCTACCAGGTTCCTCACCAGGAGCTGCAGCAGTGACTGTCAGCAACAGTTTCCTCTTAATTTTCTTCCTCCTTTGCTTCCTTGTCTTTTTTTTCCTGTGTCTTTTTTTCCTCCTTCCTCTCCTCTCTCTTTTCCTTTGATTCTCTTTCATTTCCTGAGCTCTGCCTACCTAGCCTCCCTGTAGATGACTTGGTACTGAAGAACTGGTCTGTTTCTTAGCAGAAAGCCTTGTGTGTTCTCATGAGGTGCTTGGTGGCATAATTTCATAATTGTGTACTTGGCATTTTTCTTAGCACGCTGCTGTCCCAATTATGTAATGACTGGCAAACAAATAAGATTGATAGCTCTAAAACCAAAGTCATCATTTTTGGGAGACATCTAATTGACTCAGTTAACAGCCCAACAGAGGAGGCTGACTAATTAGGGGTGCATTTGCCTACTGTTTTCCTCTGCAGGGTTCACCAAGAAGTTAACGCAATTTTAAGTCAAATCGTGCAGACGATCAATTGAGCCTTATGACTGAGGCTAGCGTATGTGTTTGGGAGGGCTTTCAGGCAAAAAGGGATTGAGTTTGGGAAAGGACTGTGGGGGCTGACCCAGTGTGTTTCATTTGTCCTGGGCCTGCCTCTCCCTGCCCTCACTCTACCTTTTTGCAATGATACGAGAACTGTACATCCTCAGTCACCCGGATGCTTACAGGAGGAGCACTCCATGTCGCACACACAAGACCTGCCATTGAGTGGTGAGAGGTGGCCTGGTGAGGCCAGACAGAGGCCATCAGAATCCAGGAGTTCTGGCGTGCGCCCCTCCAAGGGCAGGATAGAGGCTTCGCTTACAGGAGGCAGCTTAGGTGCGTTTAGGAAACAGGTCTGCTTTTGACTAGATACACTGTATTCTAATTTGGTGAGTTCTCAAGGAAGGTAATCATTCCCAAGTGCTTTGAATGGCAGCGCTTCCTACTGTTGCCTTTCTGGGACTAGAGACTTCCCCTGGAGGGGGGAATCAGATCATGGCTTCTTAAACCTTTTGCTCTCAGGATACCTACACTTTAAAATGCACTCTCTCAGGGCTACTAAGGTGACTCCAGGAAGAGTTCGGAGCTGCAGGCCTGAGAACAAAGCTTGACTTCCCAGCAGCTGGGGAGGAAGCTAAGCATGCCTACGCAGGTCTCTAACCCCAGTCTGAGCAGGTGTGAAGACAGGCAGACGCTAAGAGTTTGCCGGGCAGCAGGCCTAGCTAAAACCGTTCCCCTCAGGGCTGTAAGTGGGAGAGCAGGGAGAGGGTGCCCAAGAGCCTTTGGCCTCTGCGTGGGCGCTCACTCACCATAACACATTCTTTAAAACTCCAAAGTGCAGGCAGGGTGGCACACATCTTAATCCCAGCACTTAGGGAGGCAGAGACAGGCTGATCTCTGTGAGTTTGAGGCTAGCCTGGGCTACAAAGCCAGTCCAGGACAGCCAACCCTACTCAGGGAAACCCTGTCTCTGTGACTACAAAAACAAACAAACAAAAAACAAAGCCTAGAAAATCACTATTAAAAAAAACCCTCCAAATTGTGTTTATGTGAATTATTATAGAAATGTACTGTATTATAATCTTAAGAAATTAAGAATTAAATGATTCTTAAAATTAAGAATTACATGATTTTTTTAAATGTCAATTATAAGATTATATAGGTTAATAGACTGTTGTATGAAAAATTTTATTTTTTGAAACAAAGTAATTTCTGAGACTGGGGAAACAGTTTAGTGGGTAAGATTGCTTTTTATGCAAGCATGAGGACCTGAGCTCAAATTCTCAGCAGCCACGTGAAAAGCTAGGTATGGCCACATGCACCTGTAAACCCAGCACTGTGAGGGAAAGAGACAGGAAAACCTCTGCCGATGGCCTCCCACCAGTCAGGAGAATAAGATGCAAGGATAGAGCAAGACAACCAGACCCTATACGGCTTGTTGTGGAAGGGATATTAGACTCTAGAGGGCTTCTCTGCCCCAGCTAGTCTCCAAATAATAAAGACAGAGACCTTTGAGATTTATGAAAGCTTTAAGGCACAATGGCTGAGCAGATATCAACCCTCTACGCAAGTTTGCTATTTTCCAGCTACACACCCCAAGTTACTTGTGATAATTGTTCCTGCCTCGGTTGCTTGTGTTCCATCAGGCCAGTGCTAATGGTCCATACTGCACCATGGCGACTTCCTTCTCTTCAGCTTTCTCTCCTGCTTCTTTCTATAGAGGATATACAAAACTGCAGTTGTCACTGGAAAGAAACTGATAAGAAAACCAAACTTAAATGGAATCTAAATGTACTGTCATTGTGACTTCCTCCATTTTTTTTAACATAGATGGTAGCTCCCTCGCTTAGCTTGGTCTAGAAGGCTACTGGCTCCCTAGTTCCACCTCTGGCCCCCTGGGCTTTAGGTCTTTATCTTCAGGTACTGGAAGCCAGTCTTATCCAACCCAGCTCTGGGTGGCTGAGTCCCCCTCCCCCCCATACCCAAATTGGGTTGGGGCCTCCAGGATGTTTTTCCTCATCTTCCCAGCAGCTCTAGTTTGAAAGTGCTAGTATGTTCTTGGCACTTTTCTTAAGAAGGCAGTGCACCTTTATCCGAGAATTTTCTAATCTAAGCTTAGGTTTTATGTAAGTTCTTGTCCAAGTGTTGTGGAAGGGATATTAGACTCTAGAAGAAAGAGACTGAGAAATGGATTGCTGGGTTGGAGACCACAGAACAGAAATAGACTGTAAAAAAGAGTTCCAGATGAAAAAAGTCCACGGGTGCTTGAAGAAATAGCAAAATGGCACTCCATAGAGATACTGGATGAGCAGGCTTCAGCTATAGGCCAATATGGGCAAACTAGAGCTGTATGTTTACCATCAAAGCTCAATTACTAGGTGAAGGTCTACATGCAAAATTAGAAATGCAGATCCTGTTTGGTGTTGCCTTGGAACAAGTCATGTAATGGCTGTGTACTTCATGTTACAGAGTTTAGAGAGCTAAAATATGTGCACCACGCCACAGGTTCAAATTCAGAACTCCAGTAGGCTTTTGCCTTAAATGCTGAGGTTACACATTTGTGAGAAGTGATGGCTGTCTTGGGACAGAAGGGGGACAAGGAATATCCTAAGGGTAGATTAAATGGTACTTTATTGACTTTGGGTTTTTAAAAATCAGTGAAACAGGTAGCACAACTATTAAAAAGCACTGAATTTTAGAAAGGATTGCTCAATTAGATAAGCCTATAGAAGTCCTAATTCCAAAATGGAAGAAAGAAGGTATGTTGTGTTGGGAGAGATCAGAATAGGACAGACTTCTAAGAAAGAGGAGAGAAGAAGCCGGAGAAGAAGGAAGTCATCATGGGGAAGTACGGACCGTGAGCACATGGCCATGAGGGCTGGCTTGATGGAACAGTAGTAGCCGAGGCAGGAACAATTATCACAAGTAACTTGGGGTGTGTAGCTAGCAAATAGTAAAATCGCTTAGAGGGTTGATAGCTGCTCAGCCATTGTGCCTTAAAGCTTTTATAAATCTCAAAGGTCGCTGCCTTTATTATTTGGGAACCAGTTGGAGCAGAGAAGCCCTCTAGAGTCTAATATCCTTGCACAACAACGGCTTCCATCTGTACTTGTGTGCACCCACACATATTCTGTATACACATACCACATAAATGCTTGCAAATATCCGTAACAACAGAAGACCCCTGCATTCTCTATATCTCTCTATATTGGATCTGCTGTATTCTCTCTCAATCCTCAGGACAGCATGGGAGGTGAAATGTCCCCAGGAAGGTTTTGAGCCCCTGCTCCACGGGCAAGCCTTCTGAGGATTGTGTAGTTGCATCTCATCCATTGCCTCAGCTGGGCAGCTGTCCTAAATGTGTTTTGCTTTGTGGGAGAAGGTTGCAACGGGAGGGGAGAAGCTGAAAGCATACTCACTGTTACTGGCGTAAAGAAAGCTCTCTCCATTCTTTTCAAATGCCCAGCAGTACCTTCTG